TTTGTGTCATTTGCAGTGCCGATGGTGATTATCTACTTCCAACATGGAAATATGTTACTCTTTACGAGGACGGTCAGATCTGGGTCACTCCGCCAGGAAAAGTTCAAAGTCCGTGCTCGCTTGACGTGAAATATTTTCCATTTGACGAACAGTTTTGTATATTGTCATTCGGACCTTGGGAATTCACGGCATTTGAAGTAATAATGAAACCAATTAATGACTATGTACCCAAAGAAAACTACATCGAAAATGTGGAGTGGGTATTTTTCAATTCCAGTGTGGTGTTGATAGCGGATGTCGACGAATGTTGTCCAGATGAGGCGTATAGCACAGTGGAGTACACACTTGTCCTACGAAGACGTCCTCGATATTATATTTTAAATATCCTGTTTCCGTGCATCGCAATGTCAGTGCTTACCCTCGCCGTGTTCTACCTGCCACCCGACAGCGGAGAGAAGATGACACTCAGCATATCCGTTCTTATTGCACTTTCAGTGTTTAGCCTTCTAGTGGCCGATATAATGCCGCCAAGCGCAGACTCTTCTCCATTGATCGGAAACTATCTGTTATTTATCATGACAACGAACGCATTCTCAATATTTATGTCAGTAATTGTATTGCATTTCAACCACCGTTCATGTAAGTTTTACAACATGCCACGCTGGATTCGCACATATTTCCTTTGTTTCCTACCAAAGTACATAGGACTGGGTGACAGGGTACCAATGGTTCCGCGAAAAAACTCCGTTGATCCGTCGATCGACGAGAAACTGGAAATAGTTTCATTGGACAACGGCCATGAAACTACCTTTACTCAGGCTGAGAAAAAACAAAATGAAAATTGCGGACTGACAGTTCCGAAGGCGATGCTTGGTAGCACGGTATTCAAATACGGTGAAGATGAGAGTAGTTTCAACTCGTTTCAAAAAAAGGTCGTGGCTTTTATCGAATACGTCTCTAAACGGATGCACAGGAAATATATAGAAGAAGAGGTAATCAATCAATCAGTCAATCAATCAATCAATCAATCAATCGACACGACATGTCATTCTTTCTTAAGAGTGTTAAACTAAACAAACGTTTAACATATTTTGAGCAAAACATTGAGGGCGCAAACAGATTCATTGCCACTGTCACGCACACACAAGTTGTCGAAACTACCGAATGCAGTGGGACATATTTGAGACATATCATTAAGAATAATGTACGTGTATTTTGAAATTAATGAAATTCATATAGATTTATATAATTTCATTTACAGTTAGAAGACGAATGGAAGCAGCTGGCTACTGTTGTGGACAGAATTTGCCTCATAATATTTTTTCTCGTGAATGTTGTTGGATCATTGATAATTCTTCTCAACGCACCTGGGATTTACAGATGATGATTGACGACAACAAAAATGACAATACAACAATGCATTATCACCGTGAGAGTTGTCCTGGCAACTTAACAATGTATTCACCCAAACATAATAATGAGGTGGAAATGTCGATTAAAACCCCCATTATTAAAGTATATTGAAGCATAAACATGTTAACAACTTTTTAGGACCCTTGCTTTAAACACAACTGAGGCTTCTCGAACAATCAAACTCCTTTGCTGGACTTCATATACACTAAATAGTCAAGATTTCCAGCCTAACTTAATTTGTCAAGTGAAATGTCGTGCCATGAATTCTGTGTTTGACCTTTATACGTATTTGTTGAGATGACGTAACAACAAATATGTAACACATACCATGTTGCTAAGTAACAAACTGGTAAGCTCACACAACGGTGGATGCAACAACCACGCTGGTCATTGTTATCTGGAATCCGATGTCAGGCACTAGCTTTTAGTCCATTTCAGTTCATAAATAATGTAAACAGTGCTGTGTAAATGTAGACTTTCCGGATTTTCAAATCCATAATTTCTTCACTAGGATCGGATTCTGACTCTTACCACTGAACCAAATCCGCTGCCTCGATACTACACCCCGGCAGATGCTGAGTGCGCCCTCTATGGTAATACTAGAGATATTTTCCACAATGCATTGTCCAGCCAAATTGCTCGTTATAGCTGCATCACGGACAAAAATTTCCGAGTTACAGATTGAGTTGCCATTTCACATTCTGATACATAAGGGTTAAATATCCAACTAATCAGATAATTCAAACTACCGATTTGTTTCCCCATATTCACTCAGAAACACAGATGAAATACGTACGCGCAGTAATATTCGTATGTACGATGCAAGAGATATGCTGTCAGTATAATGTGAACATGGCGGTGTCTGCGTCAAATACGCATGGTAACTGGATCAATTGATAGTCTATATAAGTAGTCCGACGAACTGTAGATTATGCGCAGTACTAGGCCAAATACCGAAGAAATCCTGGCAAGTGGGAACTGTGGAAATGCCACCAAAAGCCTAAGAATAAGATCTATGCATTTTACCGGGCTCGTGGGGGTGTATTGTTCATATCGAGGTCACGAAACCGCGCGATTTGGACGATCTACTGAGACCCAAGTTTACTCATTGAAATGTGACCAATGCACCACATCTAATTTCGAAGCGCTGACGAATCGTATAGAAAATGTTCGGGAGTATATTTTTCAATAGCGAATCGCAGAAAACAGAAGGGGTCAGCTGACGGAAATTCCGGTCTCTTCTGAAATTCCTAAACTAACTGCCTGAAAAAACAATTTTTACCTCATTATTAGGGTTGAGTGACTTATCATGGCGGCATTCCAAATATTATATAACTGTTATTTTAATGTTATAACGGTTGGACTTCTGCATAACAATATGTTTGTTGTTATTATTATTATGGTAGTTTTATATTATTGTTTTAATGGTGATATAATGATGTGGTATTGTTAGTTTAGCGATGCTGGTAATATGACAATGGGTCATTATTATTGTTCTACTCTAAGAGAAACTGTCATTTTATGTTGAAAACACTACTGTTTTATTGGGTTAGAAAAATCGATTATAATCAGCATGTATCATACTGTTTATCCATCTCCATAACTACGTGTGTTTTGCATGGTTATTCGTGTATTGAAATTAAATAATTGTATGCATTGGTTAGCAAAGCAAAAATGTATGTTATCTAGAAAGTAAAGTGATGTGTGTGTGTGTGGGGGGGGCGTTGTTTACTACAAGTCACTTCGAGCAGTGTTGTTTGGTCAGTAAGTATAGTTCCGAGGCTAAGAGCGTTGCCTGCAGTTTACAATGCTTCATCCCAACCATGACATTCACAAAAGGCAAACACTTGTTCGAAAAGTAATTACAGCGATATCTTGACAATTTCCTA